TCAGAGATGCAGAAATTGACATATTTCTTCTTCATCACTACCTCTGTGCATAAAAATAAAGCAACACGTCTAGCATAACTGGTTAACTATTTCACTAAATATGCAAGGTATTCTTGCTTAACATAGACCAAGATGGATAGCCATGTTAGTCTGTCTGTAGCAGGAGAAAAGAGCAAGAGTCCAGTAGCACCTTAAAGACTAAATAAATATGTGGCAGGGTATGAGCTTTCGTGAAGCATGCAGTGACTCAGAGAAGCTCATTCCCTGCCACATCTTTCATTAGTTTTTAAGGTGCTACTGGACTCTTGCTGTTTTCTACTACTAATATCAGTGTTAGATTCAGTATTGCTAATACTCAGATAATCTTGAAAAAAATTGAAACACTGTGGCTGCGGTCACACACACTAATCCACTTTCAATGCACTTTCCAACTGGATTTTGCCAGTTCACACGGTTTGAAAGAGATTTAGTGTGTGTGACTTCCGCCATAATATAGAAATATAAAATTGTTTCACCATATTAAATGCTCTTATTACATTAAGTCATGATTTCATTAAACTGTTGGTAAACGTTACTTAAATACATGAAATTTGTGCTGTCATCTGCATACTGTATTCCATGAAATTCATATAATTCAATAGTGGAATAGGAAGGCAGCTTCACTAGCAGGTCTTGTAGTTTTTGGAATAGTTAAATAAAGTGAACTATAACTCATACAAGTTTTAACTATTTTCAGATAATATAGTAACTATTCTTGTTAAAGACATCAGGCAATATTATGTCTATTATCTTATGATCTCAAGTTTTAGAATGACAGTGCCATAGATGTGATAATGAAATTATATATTTAGTGCATAGGCAGCATACATTGTTCACCCCCTACTCCATTAATCATAACCTCTCTGTGTGAGAATGTCCAGCTTAAATCTCTTCAGACATACCCCAATATGCAATATCAGCATTTTTAGGAGCAATTGCTATATATCTTTCTAGTCCAATGGTTGATTTTAAGGAGATATTGCATATTCATGTCTTTCTGAAAGACACAAATGATGTTTCTTTGAAACTGTCAGGCAGATGTTATTGTCTTCCCTTCCATGCACTTAGTCTCCATTTATTTGGCTCTGGTGATACAGCAGGCAGATGTAAAGGAGCTTGGATTGCTTTCAAGACAGGTTTTCTGAAGGGTTTAGGTCATAAGACAATCATCACTCAGAGCTGCCCATGATTGAGGAAAGAAAGCATGCTGGTACAATAGAAAAAAGGAGCTGTGGTGGCTGAAGTGGTTAAGACGCTGAACTGCAGGCTGAGGAAGGTTGGTAGTTCAGCAGTTCGAGACCCGGGTGCCGCATGACAGAGTGAGCTCCCGTCTCTAGTTCCAGCTCCTGCCAACCTAGAAGTTCGAAAGCAAGAAATTGCAAGTAGATAAATAGGTACCACTTCAGTGGGAAGGTAACAGCGTTCCGTGCACCTTGGTGTTTAGTCATACCGGCCACATGACCACGGAAACGTCTTCGGACAGCGCTGGCTCTTCGGCTTTGAAACGGAGATGAGCACCTCAACCCTAGAGTCGGATTCGACTGGCTTTTGAGCAAGGGAACTTTTACCTTTTTAAAATAGAAAAGACCTAGACTTGAAAAACAATATACTAATAGCCAAGAGGCCCCCTCTGTGCAGATAGCTAAATCCGCACATCTGCACATCGGGGGCACTTGGGGGGCAAAGAGATTTTCCTGCACACTTGGGGCAATCCCCAGGTGTGCACAAAAATCTGAAAAGTTAAAAAAAGTATACAGGGGATACTTAAGTCCCAAAAATAACTACAACTGCTTGCTCTGGGCATGCACAGGGAACTCACTCATTGAGGCATGGGAACAGCTCGAGGGAAGCTGCCACGCCACTAATGGTTCCGGCTGCCAGCTCTTCTGTCTGTTCCCAGCCTCAGTTGTTTGGAATTAGTGGCAAGGACACTGAGCGCAGCTGTGAGCCCGGCCGCCCTTCCCATCTATCCCCTGGTAAGGCCTCACCGGCAGCCTCCTCGCTTCCCCTGAGGCTCTGTTGTGCTGGGTCAGTCTCCCACGCCCCGGGTGCTGTTGCCCAGATATGTGTTGGGGGAGCCTTGGAGACAAGAGAAGGAAGGGGGGAAGGAAGCAGTTCTGAATGAGCCACCGAGAGAGGAACGGGGGGGGGGTCTTGGCAAGGTTGTCCGGAGCAGCTCTAAACAAGCCACCGAGGGGGAGGGGGAGTCAGTGGGTCTGACAGCTGCAGGGGAGCCTGGAGAGAAAGTGAGTGTGTGTGATTAGATTCCCCCCCCCCGCCGCCGCTTGTATCTTCTACTCTATCTTTCATGTGATTTATGTCAAATAACAGATTTAGTTCTTCACACTGGAAGCAGAAAGCTCTACTGAAAGTAGCTATTTGTACTTGAATTAGATTTCTTACAACATTCAGGATAGTACTGTAAGGAAGGCAAAAAAAAAGAAAGAAGAAGAGCAGATACTTTCCAATATTCTGTATTTGTGTTGCAAGACATGGTTCCCACATATTGTGAATTAAAACAGTCGATCCAAGCAAGGTCACTTGAGTGGAACTTAAAAAGATGAACAGATAGCATAGCCTTATAAAGAGGTTCTTTGAGCATTTCTTGCCAACCAACTTGCATTGTAGTGATGAAAGAACATGAAAAGGGTAAACATCGCATCTAGTACATCATAATCTTAAGATTTTGTTTTATCAAAGCTTACAGAGAATGACTGGCCCAAGGTCCACTAGTGAATTCTGTGATAAGTAGAGATTTGAACTGTTCTCCAGATACAACCAACCAACTTGCATTGTAGTGATGAAAGAACATGAAAAGGTACATCTAGTACATCATAATCTTAAGATTTTGTTTTATCCAAGCTTACAGAGAATGACTGGCCCAAGGTCCACTAGGGAATTCTGTGATAAGTAGAGATTTGAACCGTTCTCCAGATATAGTTCACCATTTTAACACTACACCACATTAGCGTTTTGAGAAACAGCAGGTCTCTGGAGAAGTTACTTAAACATTTTCCAAATAGATACAATATTTTTGTACTTCATGATAATGAACTGATTTTCATATGAACATATAGTTGAGAATCCCCTAATATCACCAAATCTGACTTCACTGATCTGAGGAATTCTGCTTTCTCCCTAATACTCATCTAGGTCCAGTTTTCAAACCTCTATAATATCCCTGCATAATTTTAATGCCGCCTGTTGCACTACCCATCAGCTTGCTGTTTAACAAGGGGTCTAAAGAATCATATGCCTTAATCTGTTGTATCTTGAAAACTTTCAAACACATGGCAGGATGAAGGCAATGCAAGATAAATACAGGACTCAGCCTGCTAGAGGTTAGACTCTTCAGTCTATACCTGCACCATTAAAAGAATGAAATGTCATGGAACTGCTACGAAATTTCTCAAGGTCCACTGAATACACCAGTGAAGGATTTTCTAGCTTAGTCACTGGTTCAGCATTTCAGAGTTCCTAAATTTGAAAAATACTGTGTTAATCCCTACAAATATTCTCTAGCCATTCTACAATAAATGCTGAACTAAAATATGCTACTGAAGATCTTATTGGTTCCTTTTAGCTGAATTTACCCCTTGGAATGAGTACTGTTTTGCACCTACTGTAAGATTATATACCCTGCATAGGGAAAGTAAAAGGAAGATTTCTGGCCCTATGTAGTACCCTGACTGTCCTAAGCAAACTTCAGTCCCACCCAGTTTAGATCAAGTTTTTAAAGTGCATTAAAATAGCTGTTACTGGGATTCTTTTCATGAGATAATTAACAGCTTGTGAACAAAACTGGGAACTCCCTGCCTAGATAAATAATTTGACCTGAGATTGCCTTAGAGCAGGGAGGAGGTGGGCAACCCACTGAAAGAAGTAATACATAAACAAGCAGTTGTGTTACAAACTAGGCCAATTTGTATACAGTGACATGTTAATTACTTATAGTTTTTATTTTCTTATCTCAGACCTACACCTAGCCACTTGCCTATGAAGCGTCCCTCTCCCTCTCTGTGCTTTCTCACTTCAAAGTTAGAAGAAGATGGAGAGAGCAGCATGCAGGTAAAATAACGTTTAACACAAGGGCTACACATTGGCTATCTTCCACAGTGTCAAGTCTATGCTGAAGCTGATAAGATGACAGAGTCCTGCTTTCAGTCTCTAAACGCAGTGCTATGAGGCAGGCTCTGAAGTTGCACTGCCCATGATTAATCATCACCCACAGTGGAAGAGTGGGAAGCAGCACACTGGGATGGTGCATGGGTGAGGGAGACGGACACAAGCGTTTAGACTAGACAAATTCTTCAACTGAACGTAAGTACTTAGCTAGGCTAAGCAATCAGGCTCAGATGTCAAAAAGTTTGTTAGTTAGAGAGCAGAGAGACACAATAAAAAACAACCCAATCTTATGAACTACTGTGGCAGCACAGCAACTTTGCTTCTGTCGGATTATACATAAATTCAATTTGCAAATCCAGTCCTAAACACCACTTGAAGCAAAGCTGAACAGGAGTCCTGCAGCCCTTCAAAGACTGACAAGTTGTTAGTTTAGTATATAATCTAGTTCCACTAGATTCCTGATTATTTTTTGTTACAACCATATAACACTGCAACTGCTCTGGGGCATTTAATTTGGGAATCCCATTCAAAACAGTAAGATTACAGGTTACATTATCTGGATTTAAAAGTTATCAATATTGTAAGACTGGACAATGTAAATGACAGAGAGTTTGAAAGCAGTTATTTTCTCAGTTTTTTGCTTACATCTGCAGAATATTACACCACTGCTCACTCGAGTGGAAACTAGAGTCACTCCAAATACAAACTAAAAATTGCATGCCTGAAGCAATTATCGCTCTTACAAAAGCATTACAGATTAATCTCAGAAAGCTGTTTAGGTCTATCACCTGAGCACTTTTCTCTGGCAGAGGGGAACCCCTAACTTAGGTGGGACCAAGCAAACAAGCGTGCAGCTAGTTTAGTTGCTTTCCCATACCTGCGGAGATAGAATGTGATGAAGATCAGCTCAGCCTGGTTGGGTTACTTTCTGAAATGACTTCCATTAGAGTCTCATAGTCAGCATATTCTCTTAGAGCCTGTATCAGTTCATCTAGCAGTTCTTCTCCCAACAGGAACCTTTCAATGTGATACACTGATCTGGTTATTCTGTGGTCAGTAACTCGATCCTGTGGAAAGTTGTAGGTTCTGATCTTCTCGGATCTTCCTTTGGTCCCAGTCTATTCAGAAGACGAGAAACAAAAATCACATACTGTTATACATTGCAGTGTTTGTTGAATATTCTGACAACAGTACTTTTCATGGAAGTAGCTATAGTTCCCTTGGGGAAGGAAGAAGTAATGTAATGTAGACTCATAAATACATTATCATAAGCAACAACAAGGAAAGCTCCTTCCTGAGAGTTCAGTAAGACCTTGTTAAAAATACAGAAGATCTCAATTTTCATTTAAAATACCAATACACTTCAAGCAATTGTTTTGTTCTTTGGTAAAAGAGTTACCAAAAATTGTAAAAGCATTTATTAATTTTGTTCTTTGGTAAAGAAGGAGCATTAACACCACACTAGGCTACATTCTTACAGACAGCAAAGCATTGTTACATAATTTTAAAATCTTGAGGGGAAAAGCAATCTAAAAGTTTGACCAGTAACACATATTAACTCAGTGAACCCAGAAGCCCTCCACACTACTACAGATAAACAGATGGTGTGTGTGAGAGAGTGGTCTCTATATATCCCCCTTCGGATATGGAGGAAATGGGGGAAGATCCAATAAATACAACTGAAACTTCACATCCAGTCACTGCATGCAGACATCTCTAACTAGGGTATCTCCTTTGCACATGAGCAGACATACCCCCGCCCCCCCCAATCAGAACATTGATTGTTGAATGATCCAGGCTTTCCCGCATAAACTACTCCCTACCATGACTAATTTGGCTGGGACCTCAAGTTAAGATGGGGCCTCAATGCTTGTTAATTTTTTTGGCATCTGGTAAATTTCACAAGCAGACCAAAATGTGATGACACACTCAGCTTAGAGCTGTAAATTTAAACAAATACAAGACTTGATTTGTTCTACCATGACCAATTTGGCTGGGACCTCAAGTTAAGATGGGGCCTCAATGCTTGTTAATTTTTTTGGCATCTGGTAAATTTTACAAGCAGACCAACACGTGATTGGCACACTCAGCTTAGAGCTGTAAATTTCAACAAATAAAAGACTTGATTTGTTAAAAATATGCAATTTTGTTAACTCATAAGGATTTTGTCACAGTAAAGAGGTTAAATGTTCATAAATATAAATAAAATATATCACCATTTTAAGTTTTCATTATAGCCAGAGTCTCCAAAAGACAAAAAGTGGCCCAGACCTCTTTAGACTTCTGAGAGGTTCAACTCCCTACACACTCAAAACTAGTTATGTCAAATTAAAGGAACCTGCTCTTCTGAGAGTTTGAAATAGAACCGTTCAATGGCAGACAAATTATGTGGGGCTTCTGCTCCTTCATTTTAGCTTGCCTTTAACTAATTTTACATCATTTCCTGTCCTTTCATAAATCTCTATCCTTTTCTACATTATTCACTATGCTCTATTAACATCCTGAGTTTTTCACTCTATACCTATGCCTTGTATCTCAATCAGGAGTCTCTCAGGCTTATGTACAAATAATATACAGTTTATTATACAAGCCTCTCACCAAATCTTTACACAGAGTGACGTAATGCTCCGCTGCGCTCGCATTCCAAGAAGGAATGAACAGTTCTGTACAGCACTGAATATATACAACCACTGGCCAATCACAGCCAGTGCTGAGTCACTGTGACTCAGTGCTAATTAGCTCCAGCAGTAGCCAGCCAGAACCGGTCAGAGCCAGCTCTAATGACACTTAGAGCTGTCAGCTCCTGTCAGTTAGATGCCTATGATCTACAGCATGACTTAACATATACAGAATACTGACACCCAAACCCCACCCTCCATCCCCCAAATCTCTAGGTATTTCCCAACCCAGAGCTGGCAACCCTAGCCCCTCCACCACAAAGTGGGGCTCAGTTCACAGCAGTATAAAAACAGAGGTAGTAAATATAGTTAAAAGTGTATAAAATACAGAGCATAAAAAACAAACAATTTACAATTTACCTTAGAGACCAATACAATGTTTAGGAGTTGGAGCTTTTGAGAGTCAAAGCTCCCTTTTTCAGACACTTCCTTTCACTCTCAAAAGTTCATACCTCCAAAAATCTTGTTGGTCTCTAAGGTGCTACTGGACTCAAATCTTATACTATAAAACCAACACAGCTACCTTCTAAAACTATGAAAAAAATAAAATTACACTGAATGGGGAAAGGACAATTCACTTCAGAGAGACATGCAACTCAATTTAAAGTTATTCAACTACTTTTTTTATCTGTTAAGTCCTAAGAGCAAAATGTAGTCAAAGTATATGTTACTGAAGGTGTGGCCTTGCAGAATCTGGTGTGCATTTGTCAGACAACTAAAGCAAAATTCTGTGCCACAGAACATCCTCCCCACGGCTTTTCTAAACTGTTTTGGAAATGCCTGAAAAATAGTTCACACAGATAATGGAACTGCAACAATAGTTCTGGCCTGTTAAAATTACAGTGGAAAGAAGAGCTATTGTCTCAAGACTAAAAATGAAAAGCATAACAAAAGCTGCATATGTAAGCCAAAGTGAGAATCTGACAATTGGGCCATACTTTTACTACTGGAGGATTATTCAGGAGGAAAACAAGCACGTGAAGAAGCCAACTTTGTAGACAGAGTGCTTTACCAGTGTTATTAAAGTTATACTTCTGAAAACTTAACAGAGTCTGGGGAATTTATATATCCAATCAAAATGTATCTGGTCAAAACTAGTCAAGAATGCATGTGTTTAAGCAATCTTACGTTACAACTGAATTCTCACATGGCTACTTCACAAGAGATTTTTTTTTAAAGTACGCATTTACATATTTACAGTATACATTAAAAACTACATGTTTACAAATGAGTCTGTCACACAGCTGGGATTGGCTGTGGCTTTTTATCTACGGCTGAGCTGCATGACCCAGGCTAGCCTGATCTTGTCACATCTCAGAAGCTAAGCAGGGTCAGCCCTGGTTAGTATTTGGATGGGAGACCACCAAGGAATTCCAGGGTCTCTGTGCAGAGGCATGCCCTGGCAAATCACCTCTGTTACTCTTGCCTTGAAAACCCTATGGGGTTACCATGAGTGGGCTGCAATTTGATGGCACTTTACACACACACTTTTTCTACCATAGATTCGCAACCATATGATCAACTTATATCAAGCCAGAGCACCAGTCCCCCCTCTATTTTGCCTGGCTGCAACTCTCTGGGGTCTCCAGTTTGGATTTTCCAAGCCTTACTATTTGAGATCCTTTTTAACTTGAAGTGCGAGACACTAAACGGGTACTTTCTGTGTGCCAAATATGTGTTCTGCTACTGAATTATATCACCACCACCTCAGCATTTAGGGATAAATCATGAGATGAGACCGGTAACTGTCTGAGCATGACAGGAGATTTTACCACAGAAGGAAAATATATTTTAACTCACCTGTGGGAATGTGGACTATTCGAACAGCACTGTCTGTGGTATTCACATGCTGTCCACCAGCCCCACTGGCTCGTTTTGTTTCAATACGTAAGTCCTTGGGATTAACTGTCAGATTTATCTGCAGCAAGAAAATATATTTTGCTTATCCTCTGCAAGGTACTGTCCATTAATCTAATGAACAAATTGTTTTTATTCCAACAAGAAATATAATTTGTTTTCCTTGGGAGATCTGACATCTTTTACAACAGTTGGTCTTCCTTTTCTGAATAGATGGACTAGATGGGCCACTGGCCTGATCCAACATTGGCTTCTCTTATGTTCTTATGTTCAAATAGCAGAATTGAATTCAGATGGGGCTCTCTGAAAGCACAATGAGAAAAGCAAAACTTCATACCTCCGTGGGTTGTGGTAATACTGCTACTGTCATTGTGCTAGTATGAATGCGGCCTTGCTTCTCTGTCTTAGGCACTCGTTGTACACGATGTACTCCTCCTTCAAACTTCATACGTCTATAAGCTTCAAGACCACCTATACTGGCAGATGCATGTCTCAAACCACCTTAAATTAAAATATAAAGACCTGAACGTAAGCAAACATTGTAATGCAACTGGAAGAGCTTGTTAAAGGATTGATATAGTGATGCAATAGATTTTTAGCCAAGGAGTAAAACATGTCTTTTGCTTTATGCTTTTTTCCAGTGTCTACTTTTGAGTCACTTAATATTTATTGCTTATAATTAGTATTTCTCCTACCACATAAGAGGTATGCGACAATCCTCACTACAACATGACAAAACTTTCTGAGATCAGACTTCCTCTAAACATTAGCAACTCTTCTACTTCTCCATGTCTGAAACATCTTACCTTCCCCATATCCTATTGGCTACACCTTTTTAAAATGCTCAAACTCATTTTTAAAGATGGCCAACTGTATATCCTAGCCTTAGCATCAATGTAAAAAGTTAGAACTACATTATTGTCTTCTGTGCCCAGTAATGCCCACTGACATCTATATAAATGTGTAAAAAAAACCCAGATGAAATGTTACTTTAATTCAGTAATTTATTTTATTTTATTTATTTATTTTCATTTACAGTCCACCTTTCTCACTGGGACTCAGCATGAATTACAAGTAAAACAGACCTATTCAGTCAATGAATGAGCTAATTACAAAATATGATAACATTTGAACAATAATTGAATCTAACAGCGAGGCAACCCAAAGCAGAACTTGCTCAGCACTGAAAAGCAGTTCACGACAGGAGTGTCAGAACCACCTAGATGCACCTTCTATTTATTATGTTTTTCTCTCATCCTTCTTCCAAGGAGCTCAGGGTGCAACACATGGTCCTTCCCTCCTTCACAACTGCAATCATTTCTGTATTTGTTTGTACTTCTCATCTATGCTTTTTCTTTTCTGCACCTAAGTTCCATCCTTCAACATGATCAGGCACATGATGGATAACTTCTGATTCATCTGCCTGACAGAAATCCCAATATTAAATGTTCTTTTCATCTAATAAACACAGTATGAAACACTTGTTTCTGAACCAAGAATCTAGATTCTGTCAAATCCAAACAACATATCTTTATGAAAGAAGAATAGGACATTGATATGGAGCTATCTTAAGGGGTTTTTTTTAATTCTGGCCAAAGAGGAGCTTTGGCTACTTACCTATATCACTGGACATATATTCCAGAATTTCAAAACTCCAATTTTTATATGCAGCGTAGTGTTCATACATGTCAAACATTTCTGCTGTGAAGAGCATTGCTTCCTGCCCTCCAACTCCAGCCGATACTTCCAGGATGAGATCACTTTCATCTATTTCTTCTGAAGGAATCAAAAGCAATACTACCTGTAACACACAACAGTATGGCATTCTAATTTATTTTTTTTACTAACAATAACATTCCTTTCATCTGACCTAAATCACACTTCATCTTGTTGGAATGGCACAGAACACTATCCCACATCCTTTAACTGATGGTGGGACACTCTCTGGAAAATCCATTACCTACAAGAATTCCTTACCTATACAAGACTATGGAGTTTTTCTCCATTAAAGTATTAGGTATTGGAACTTGTTGGCAGTACACTCAAGACTGAAGAGAAGAAGAGATTGAATTTATACCCCACCCTTCACTACCTGAAGGAGTCTCAGAGTGGCTTACAATCTCCTTTCCCTTCCCCTCCCCACAAAAGACACCCTGTAAGGTAGGTGGGGCTGAGACAGCTCTTTTGAGAACTGCCCTTAAGAGAACAGCTCTGAAAGAACTTATGACTGACCCAAGGTCACACCAGCAGCTGCATGTGGAGGAGTGGGAAATCAAAAGGAAGTACTTAAAACACATAATGCACAATTAACTCATTGAATTCATTACCATGAGATGTGGGGACAATCATTTCCTTAACGGGGAAGACAAACTCAACGAAAATAACTGAATGAATATTTGCTCTAAATTGCTGGTGGCAAACATGCAAAAGCTTCACCCCTATTTGTGGGTATTCAGAAGGATCTAACTGGCCACCAGTGTTCCCTCTAAGCTGAGTTAGTGTGAGCAGCTAGCTCACAGTTTTTTAGCCTCCAGCTCACAGATTTTTGTTTTAGCTCAGGAAGGATGGCTCCAGAGCAAAATAATTTATGCAGCAGCCAAATCGCTTGCTCACAACTTTAATGCCAGTAGTTCACAAAGTAGAATTTTTGCTCACAAGAGTCCACAGCTTAGAGCGTGCATTGCTGGCCACCGATGGAAACAGAATACTAGTCTAAATAGCCCAGAATATTTGATCTAGTATGCCAGTTCTTATGTTCTTAGAAATCATTAGACAGAATAAATTAAACAATGTACCTGGGTTTCTATAAACTTCTGTGCTGTAGTGGCTAGAATGTCAGACTCAGGTTCAAATCCCCACTCTGCATGGAAGCCTGCTGGGTAACCTTGGGTGAGTCACACACTCCCAGCATAACCTACCTCACAGGGTTGGTGAGTATACAACAGAGGAAGTGACAACATCGTAAAGCACAGTTGGGTCTCCAATGCATAGGAAGTAGGATATAAGTGAATAAATAATGTACTCTATTTCTGTATTACTCCCATGTCCCACTCAATTTTCCCACAATGCAGCTTTTCATTTGAACAATAACTTTCCCATAGTACATTTCTCTTGTTATCTGCTGTGCTAAATTTTTCTCTACAGCCCATCTTTTATATCTTGAGAATTATTCGAAATGTGACTTTTGCAGCATGGCTGCCATTGCAAAATAAATACCTCACAGTCAGATCCCATGACATAACTTTTGGTCCTATGGGAATTAACCACACTCACTTCCTCCTTCCCCCACCTTGCAGCTGCTGATGCTAGTTGGCTAATCACCCAAGCAACTCAAATATCCATATATTACTAAGTGAAAGTGGGTGAGGGGATCTTCCTTTGCAATAGTAACCACACCTCAAAAGGTGGCATAAAATGAGCCTCCAAGAGGAGGCTTTTCTTTTTGGGAAATATGAGAGAAACTCCTCTGCTGCAGAATATTTGTTACTAGGGAAGCTGTACTGACAAAAAGACCCTCTCTAGACCTTCTTCGGATGCCTTTGTTCACTAGATGATCACATTCTTTCTAGGAAACATTTGTTTATAGTACTTAATTCCTGAATCCTGACCTTTAATATTAGAAAGCACTGTACCATTGATTGCGTGGCAGGTATCTTTCCCTCCAATCCTCTGGATAGTACTTGACAAAGCATGATGAGATAGTGTCGTACATTAGGAAGCAAGCAGAGGTGTGAGGCTAAAATGGAGGAGAGGAGAACAATGTAAGCTGCTTTGGAATCCCATTGGGAGAAACGTAGAAAGCACTGTACCATTGATTGCGTGGCAGGTATCTTTCCCTCCAATCCTCTGGATAGTACTTGACAAAGCATGATGAGATAGTGTCGTACATTAGGAAGCAAGCAGAGGTGTTGTGAGGCTAAAATGGAGGAGAGGAGAACAATGTAAGCTGCTTTGGAATCCCATTGGGAGAAACGCAGGGTATAAATGAAGGTAAAATAAGTAACAAGGTAAAACAGCAGCCATACATTATCTCCAACATGTCATTCTAGCCCAAGGCACTCCTCAATGAGCAACACCTACACATGTATCCAGTGTTTACATGTGCACTACCTAGTTAATTATGACGGATAAGCAACTATTCCAAAGACTAGGGATTTGAACCGGGGCATTGTAGATCCCAGTCTGACACTCCAGCCACTACCTTACACTGACTAGGAAAAAAGGATTTAATATTCCTTCTGACTGAGAACACACCTGTGATTAAACTGTGTTAAGTTTCAAATTAACCCTTGCTCTTTTGCAATCACAAATGAACAATCATAGTGTTGAGAATGAAGTACCTGTCGTTTCAGTTCTGCTATCTCTTTGCAACAGGAAACAACTTCCATCTCTGCAAGCTTCCGCAAATCTTCATTTTCATCTAGAATACAGTATACTATTTTATAGCCATTAAAGGTTATATATTTTTCATTAATATCACAACTACAAATATTGTGTTAAGCTTCATAGCCATAAATTTTCATTAATATCACAACTACAAATATTGCTTCATAGCCATAACCATTTATGAAAATATTCTTCCTTTTGTCGTTTCTACATGTGGAGCATGAACCATTGCAGTTCTCTCATTTCATTTACTGCTCTTATGACTACAGTCTTGAGCAGTTCAACAACAAAACAGCAATAAGAATAATAACAATAAATAATAGTAACAATAATAGTAGTGATAATATAACAATAAATACACCATAAATGACAATAAATACAGCAAATACACCTATAAGTAAAGGTAAAGGTTTCCCTTGCTTCAAAGCTAGTCAAATCTGACTCTAGGGGGAAGTGCTCATCTCTGTTTCCAAGCCAAAGAGCCAGCGCTGCCTGAAGACTTCTCCGTGATCATATGGCCAGCATGACTAAACACCAAGGCACACAGAACGCTGTTACCTTCCCACTGAAGCAGTACCTAGTTATCTTCCTTTCGAACTGCTAGGTTGGCAGGAGCTGGGGCCAGAGACAGGAGCTCACTCCGTCTGGTGGCACTAGGGTCTCGAACTGCCGAACTACAGACCTTCCAGTCTGCGGCTCAGCGTCTTAACCTCTGAGCCACCGCAGCCCTAAAAACACCTATAGCAGCAGCTAAAACATCAAATTATCCAGATCTAACTATCCATTAGATTTGATTACATAAGATAAAAAATTAGCAATGACCAGGGTAATATCTTGATCACTTCCAGTCAGAAGAATTTGTAACTTACAGTGGGCTGGAAGACTACCCAGGTCCTTTAAAAATGGAAAGATAAACATGATTCTGTACCTCTGAAATTTTGGATGGTCCAATAAACAATGAAATAAGGTATCAAGGCTCCTTGTGTCACAACTACAAAGCCTATCAGCTAATGAGATCTTCCCAAAATGGCCAAAAAGTTCTGCCACTGAGACTGAATTAAAATGAGCCAGCAGGAACGCTTGTCAATATTTAGGAGCCGTCAGATAATCAAAATAACCTGGGCTGAATTTTGAGTAAACCAGTCCTAGATAGAGCAAACTCTATGGGCCTGAAATCTAGTGCTGGATTCATCCAAAACATAAAGATGTCTCAAAATCAAATTTCTAATAGAGGTCAAACCAACCAATCAATATAATTGGGGGAAACCCTTAAATAGCCCAGGTGGGAGGTTTCTGCCAAGATGTTTTAAAGGTGTCCTTCCTCAATACATGGAGTCCACTCATTTCTGGAGAGGCAAAAGTTAGCGTGAGCCAAAATCTATAGGTAGATGCCAAGGCCCTTGCCTCAAGGAAGCACACACTTACTTCAGCTCTCAATACAGTTCCTGCCACACAACAAGGAGCTCCTGTAATTCTTCAAAAAAATCTAGCAGAAAAAATATCGAGCTGATCATGACAGCCAGAGATCCAAATTGGGGCACCGTATAGCAACTGGGCTCCTACCTTAAATTTATATACTGTGAGTGACACATTGTTGTTCAGTCCCATTCAGAAAAAGAGTGAACTTTATTTTGGCCCCAGGCACATGGGCCGGATATCGCGGGGGGGAGGCGTGGCTAATGCCCCGGCGCAGTTTGATCAGCGATTATGCGATCAGACACGCCAGCAGCACAGCACGGGTCCTTCCCTCGGCGCCAGTGGGTAAATGAGGCACCGGAGGGGAATGCCACGCGCCGGCGCGAGCACACCATGGGTATCTGGAGGCAGCCCGTGGCAAACGTTTACATTTGATGTAATATATTCCTTGGAGGTACTAGTTTTTAAACTTGCATTGTCGGCGGTAAGCCACGGGTGTGCTCCACTTCCCAGATGTTGGGGTGTGATTGCGCCCGGATAATCCGCCCACCTTCTGTCCCTCTCCTGCGGTAACTTTGCCGTGTGACCGGGGCCTTAGACTGGCAGCTAGATCCTGAACACATTTCAGCTTGCACCTTTAAATTCTATAGCATGTTCTTTAACAGAGCAAATGAATTCCTATGAAATAAATCAGATTTTCAGCTATGAATATTTAGGGTATAAGATATTTTCTGATTCTCTCTTACACTGATAATCAAAGGTAAGTTTTCATTTTTAAGGGTCAACAGAAATATTTTGCTTACTTCTTCTTTAGAATGTGTTTAAACAGCCCCTTTTATAAACCTTTGTCAAGAGGGCATTTCTGTCAGATTGATCCAAGATAAATGTCTAATATCTTCCTTCAGTAATTCAGTTTGCTTTACTCAGCAAAGTCATCTGCTTTGACGGCTGCAGACACCTTGACACCATGCATTCAGTCCCAATGCCTGGAACTCACTGAAGTCTACATAGCTCACCCTGACCCTGAGCCAGCCACTCACTCGGAGCATAATCTATCCCTCAGGGCTGCTGAGAGGATAAAATGCAGGAATGAAGAATAATGTTGTAACCCTGTTTGGGTCACCACTGGGGAGAAAATCAAAACATAAATATCTAAAGAAATTAATGAAGTGCTGTGGGAGGATGGGCAGGTCACCAGTGAGCTTTTGTGGCAGAGTGGTGATTCAAAACTGGGTCTCCCGAATCCTTGTCTGGAACACCTACCACTACACAGCACTTCATGGGACAGCGGCTATTGAGCAGTAGCAAGCAGCTGGGCCTGCATGAGTTATGCAGGAAAGGAGACATCGAGGGGAAACAGAAATGGATCCAGGCACAATGGCTGCAATTACGGTTGGGAAGAAACTAGGTGTGTGTCACCTGCCGAATTCCTGCCTCTCAAAGGAACCGTTACAGAACACGGGTGACGCTGGTGTCATGTACCAGAAGCGGGCAGCGTCCCTGGAAGCGACAAGCACTGGCCGAGGGCTCACCTTCCCGTGCCAGGCGTTCAGTGTCGCGCAGCTCCTGCTCCTTGGCCGTCAGGAGGCGAATCAGCGCCGTCAACTGCGGCCGGGGCCTGCTACAGTGCTCTGACTGCTGCTGCCGCTCCAGGAAGCGCTGCAGAAGCGGCATGGCGAACAGCTCATGCACATCAGGCAGACTACTGAGCGAGCGCTGCGCCGGCTTCTGCCAGCTCGGCCTCCTCACGAGAACAACGGAAAGCCCGGAAGGGCAGCTGAGCCGTCGCCCCTCCCGCAGCAGACTCCGCGCCAGGCAACGCCACATGCCCCCAAACAATCACAGCCTTCTGGGGGACAACAGCCGATTCCGGTCACGTGGTAGGCCACTTCCTGAAACGGGCCAACCCGGCTGCTTAGCTTCAGGTACGTTTTGGTTGCCGGGAGGGGGAAGAAAGGAAACCCCACTTCCGGTTGTCATTTGGTTGTGGGAGGCTGTCTTCGGTTCATATCTCTGCGGTGCCCCACAGACCCAGAATGCTCAGGTGCTGCATAAGGACTGGGAAGTGTTAATGTTGTCCCCCTTCCTTCACTGTTTACGGTTCACTCTTGTCTGTTTTAAAAAATATTCGTAGATATTCACCATAGACGGTTCCCCCTCAGCTCGTTGCGCGTGCGCTCTCTACTCGAGATGTTCGAAGGCGCTCCGATCTGTAGATGGCGGTTCCCTCCCTTCGGTAACTTCCGGACAGGCTCGTGTCTGCTCATGGATTGGTCTAGACTAGAGGCGATTGTGATGAGAAAAAACTGGCTGGAGTTCGCCTGCAATTGGAAGTAGTCGTTTTGCGAGACAGTTGGCAGAGCTGACCTAGGATTATTTCGTCCTCGTTGATTGTCTGTTACGTTGACTGATGAAAGGATATAACAAGTTTGTTACTTCGCTGGAGTCTGTTTAAAAGCATCGCTGAACATTTTGGCGTAAATATCTTCCTCTTAGCGTGCCAATGCTAATCAAATGACATCCTCAGTGAGGACTAAACGATTACAATAAAAAGCAGCGACAAAATAAACATTTAAATTACAGTAACGACAGCTAGGGGCGAAGGGGTTGCCAAAAACCATAAAAAGATTTCTAGCTGGTCAGTACAAAGGAATTGGCATGCAGTGTTCACTTTAAACGTTTTATTCAGTTTTAAATGAATGTTATTGAATCAATAACTAAACTAACTGGTCCTTATAAATGGGGTTCCTGTGCCCTCTCATGCAGTCTTATCAGCCTTCCTGCACATTTATGGTTATTAGTCTGGCCTTTACTACTGCTTTCTATACTATTATCTGTCTGGATCTGTGGGGCATAGTTGAGCACAAAATAGCAAAAGAGTATTGCAGCACCTTAAAGACTGGCAAATTTGTTAGGGCATATGATTTTATGAGAGTCAGAGCCCCTTTGCTAGATGCACAAAGTGTTAAGCTGGCAAACAACAAAGGCTATTGCAATGAGGCATCCGAAGATCTAGTTTCTCAGGACAAAGTGTGTTACATTAAATTGCATAGATTCGGGTGGATACACTAAATTCGAGAGCACAGAGAAAATATGATCCAATTAAAAGTATAAGTACTGAAAAGTATAAGTACTGAATCGGGTTTTAGTATTACATCTTTCGCACGCCACTTTTGATATACTGTATGAACAAACAATACTGCGAGCACTTTAGTGTGAATTGTTTATTGTGAATTGTCTATTTTAAAATTGTTTTAACTTGTTTATAGTTGTTTTATGTGGATCTGGCACGTGGTGCTGAGAAATATGTGAGCCGCCCTGAGCCCGTTGCGGGGAGGGCGGAATAGAAATACAACACATAAATAAATAAATAAAATTAACAGTAACATAATGTAGTGTATGCTGACCACCACCGGGGGCCAGCGAACAGCCAGAGCTTGGCTCTGGAAGAACAATAGGGACTAGGCTCCTAGTCCCTCCACTGGGGAACCAATGGGAACCATGGCGGGAGATTCAAACCCACCAATGGTGACCAGGGGTGTGTCCCCAGGTATGTATATAGTTGGCCTGCCAGCCGTTTGTTCCTTGTTCTTGTTGTGTACCAAATAAAGCGTGCCATGTACCACGTCGTCGTCGGTCATTTATCCATGCGGCAACCCACTACATAACACATAATAAATGCTAGTATTGTTATTAAATCGATGGCTACCATATCAGCTCTCTCTTCCCATAACCGGCTCGTAGGTCTTCTGCAGTTGTCTTTCAAGTGGCTGGCAGAGGCTGTTAGTATGAATTCTAGAGGCAACAGGGCTTCCTGTCCTAGTTGTTAATGGTTGCGGCAGCTCCAAAAGCCTGGCAGAAGAGCTCCGTTTTACAGGCCCTGTAGAACTGTAAGAGGTTTTGCAGGGCCCTGGTCTCTTCTGGGAGTTTGTTCCACCAGGATGGAGCCGCCACTGAGAAAGCTCTGGCCCTGGTAATTGACAGCCTGGCCTCCTTAAGACTTGGGAGGGCCAATCGGTTCTGGGCCCCAGAACACAGTGCTCTCTGGGGAATATGTGGGGAAATGCGGACCCTCAGGTATGTAGGCCCCTGACCATAAAGGGCTTTAAAGGTAAGAACCAGCACCTTGTAACAAATTCAGTATGCTATCGGCAGCCAGTGCAGTGACTTTAGCACAGGCTGGATGTGCTCACAGATTGAGAATCCCACCAACAGCCTCGCCACAGCATTTTGCATCAGCTGCAGCTTCCGCATTTGAGACAAGGGCGACCCCATGTAGAGAGCATTACAGTAGTCTAGTCTCGAGGTGACCATTGCATGGATCACTGTTGCCAAGTCATTGCGTTCGAGGAAGGGAACCAACTGCCTAATCAGCCGGTGATGATAAAAGGCTGACTTGGCAGTGGCTGCTACCTGGGCATCCAGGAGCACTTCCAGACTCCTAACCTGCGGTCCTGGCACCAAGGGAGCCCCATCAAAGTGGGATTCCTACTCTTGGACCGCCCCGGCTCAGGCAAAGGACCTCTGTCTTCATCGGATTCAATTCCAGCCAACTCAGCCTAAGCCAACCAGCCATGGCTTGTAGTGCCTGGTCTAGATCTTCCAGTTTGGAGTTGGACTGATCACCCAACAACAGATAGAGCTGGATGTCATCCGCATACTGGTGACATCCCAGTCCATGCCTCTGGGCAATCTGGGCAAGGGGGTGCATGTAGATGTTAAAGAGCATTGGGGACAACACTGCCCCTTGAGGCACTCCACAATCCAGTGGGTGCCTCTGGGATAGTTGATCCCCCAGTGCCAGCCTTTCTCCCCGACCTTGGAGAAAGGAGACGAGCCACTGCAAGGCCATCCCTGGACCCCAGTGTTGTTGAGGCGGTGGATCAGTAGCTGATGGTCAACCATGTCGAACGCTGCTGACAGGTCTAACAACAACAGCACTGCCGATCCACCCCAATCCAGATGCCTCCGGAGGTCGTCCGTGAGGGCGACTGTTGCCGTCTCCATCTCGTGACCCGGCCAAAAGCTGGACTGGAAAGAGTCTAAAATGGAAGCATCATCCAAGAAACACTGTAGCTGTATGGCCACAGCCCTCTCTATTATCTTGCCCAAGTAGGGCAAGTTGGAAACCAGTCAGTAGTTTGCCAGTTTGGCTGGGTCCAAGGATTGCTTTTTCAAGAGAGGGTGGATCACCACTTCCTTAAGTGCCTCAGGTAACCACTCCTCCAAGAGGGACTTGTTGACAATCTCCCATAGGGCACCTCGGAACCCCTCGTGGCTGGCTTTAATTAGCCATGAAGGGCATGGATCAAGGGAGCAAGTGGAACGGCGTACAGTTAGGAGCAACTTGTTAACTTCCTCTAGGCTGAGTGGGCCAAAATGATTCATAACCAGAATAGAAGATGTGTATGGAGCCTCGAGTAAGCCTCAATAAATAGAGCCACTCCTCCCCCCCGCCCCCTAGTCCGTGATTGGTGAAGAACCAAGAACCCGGGAGAAGCCAGCTGGGAGAGAACTACCATCTCTCCCTCTTGCACCCAGGTCCCCGTCATGCATGCCAGGTCTACATTCTGCTCTTGCAGAAAGTCCCGAAGGACTGTGGTCTTATTGTTTATAGACCTGGCATTACACAACGCCAATGTCGGGGGGGGGTCAGTCCCCCTAGCCCCACTACCTACTACCTTTGGGATGGGACACTTATCTCTTCAATGAATAAAACAGTGTATATTAATAACTTCCTACTGAGGTATCACACTCTCTCACTTCACAAACACTCCTCACTCTCAAATCCTCCTTTCTCTTCAGAATGTACTTTGTCAAATCTTTATTTTATTTAGCTCAGTTTAATCTTTCCCTTCTTAACAGGTTCAGTCAGCTTCTGTCTCTCACACACTTATAATACTTTGACAATATTAGGTTTTGACTCTCTCTAGTTGCTAATATGTCCTCTAAAGTATTCTGCCTCCTTTTTAGAATCTTAAATGCTTTTCACAGCACTAATATGGGATTCTAATCAGAAGACTGCTTCTCAGACTGACTGCTGACTAACCAAAACTGACTGTTAACTGCTGGCTGAACACACTGACTGACTTTCTCCACACACACTTCTTAGCTCCACCCATACATTCTCAATCATCAACCAATCACCTCACTCATCCCCCTCTTTCACCCTTCTTTCTCTTCTAGGGTTGCCAAGTCTGGCAAACTCACCAGCGGGGGAGGCTTGGACGAGTCCAAAAGCGCGCCACCGCCACATCACCAGAAGTGACGTGTGCCGTTGCTAACGTTGGGGGCGTGGCCCCGACGAGCTTGGCCACACCCCCAAGGTCAGCAATGGTGATGCAGCTTTGGGGGGCAGAGTTCCCCCCGGGGCCCGATTCTGCCACGGCAGAAATCGGGCCTCCAAAGCGGGGGTTTCCCCGCCCCCATTTGGCAACCCTATCCTCTTCTGAAAATTACCAACATTTTAAAAACACACACACAAAACTTGAAATCATTAAAAAAGGCCTTCTGTTCTCAGCCTCCAGAAGCTTCCTCACACCTAAGTGATTGTCTAATTTGCTAGCGAATAACTTGAGGCTGTAGAACACTCCTAGTTACTATACAACCTACCCTGATAATTCAGTCCCAAACCTAGGAAGTCTTTGTCTGACTATGCCATATGGTTTTCCCCCCGACGATCTGGGCCACGCCCCCAACGTGAGCGATGTGGCTGCGTCACCTCTGGTGACGCAGCTTCGGGGGGCGGAGTTCCCCCTGGGACCCGATTCCGCCGCGGCAGAAATCGGGCCTCCAAAGCGGGGATTTCCCCACCCCCTGCCCCCACTTGGCAGCCCTATCAACACCTTCTGGTGATCCTCAGTCTGAGGGAC